ACAGCCTTACAATAAACTTAAAAAACTAAATTATATACGGTATTTATGACCAATGAATAACCTAATAGTTATGTTAACAATAAAAGTGCATGACACACAGAGGTGTGGTTACTTTTAAAATACGCATGTTAATAACCGTGAAATTAGGAGTTCAATGATCCGTATAAATGTCAACATTATTAATTTAATACTCATACTGTAAAAACACAAGCATGGTAACAGTTCAATAAAGATTAAATATATATATAAATAAACTAGATTAGTTACATGTAAAAAAAATATTATTTAAACCGAAAAAAAAAATATATTACCCGACGTAGAAGGCACCTGGTTACAAGTGAAGGTACACTTTACAAAGTTAAGGTTGACCCTATTTTACTCCATCTTTGGTTTTCTATTCATATATAATAATGGAGAACTGAATTAATGAATCTTTATATTCAAAAATTACGTTTAAGGCACTAATTATTCAACATTAAGTAAGTCATATTGAGCTTGTGACAAAAAAAGTGAAAAGATTTTCGATGTCTAAAAATTATTACATAATACCACATACAAATACAATTATAAAAAATACAATGATCAATTGCATTGAATTTCAAATGTAAGTTACATTTTACAAGTAACTTTAATAATACACAATTTTGGTAAAAAAAAAAAAAATTGTTATATAATTAAAAAGTAATGAAATAATAAATAACAAAAATTGCACAAACGAACAATGAGTCGTCTACCTTTTAACAGTTGCTATGTCTGGACCCTCGTATTAATGGCACTAGCAGTGAAGGAGGACCAGCTAATCTTAAAAACGGATGTTGTAGAAGTTCAGCAGCAGTTGCTCTTTGCGCCGGATCCCTCACTAATAACCTTTCTAAAAAGCCCTGTAGTCTGGGAGATATCTGGAGAAGCAAATTAAATAATGCATAAACATTTAATCGTTTAATGACATAAAAATAAATAATAAAATAACATACTTTATTGGAATTTTTAAGTTTTGGTGGAGGCATGTCACGTATTCTTCTCATAGCCTGAAGAGGTGGTTCATTAAAGAAAGGTGGTTCACCATCAACCATTTCAATGACCATAATACCTAGAAATAAGTTGGTATTAAAAAATGTTGATAAACTAATAAAATAAAAATTAATTATTACCTAACGACCATATATCAACTTCTGGCCCATATGGTAAACGTGAAATCACTTCGGGAGACATCCAATAAGGTGTTCCAACTAATGATTTTCTCTTAGGTAACTCTTGAGATACTTGAGCACAAAAACCAAAGTCGGAAATTTTCACCTAATTAAAAAATGAAGATAGTAAAATATATAATTACAATTTATAAAATAATGATAATAATTAAAAATAATTACTCTTCCATCAGTAGTCAAAAGTATTGAATCACTTTTTATATCTCTGTGTATCACTCCCTGTGAATGCAAATATGCTAATGCTTTCAAACACTGCTTGCAAACAGTAGCAATTTGTTCTTCGTCCATTCTAGTGTGTGTTACCATATCAGTGAGTGCGCCGCCTTCTAAATATTCCATTACTACCCATAATTCGTCACCAACCAGAAAACTGTCATACATATCAACAATGTTTGCATGGTGATAATCTCGCATTATGACAACTTCATTGAACAACAATTCTCTACGCTGTTGCTTTCTTAAATCCATTTTTTTCACAGCCACTTTACGACCGGTTATTCGATCTGTAGCTATACAAACAGTACCTGTTGACCCTTCACCAATTTTTTTGAAACTATCCAAATTTTCGCGAGGATCTCCTGGACTAACAACAAGTTGAAGAGCAGCCCTGAACTGAAATACACAATCAATTTTGGGTATTGTTTGTCATAAATTAAACTTAAAAAAAATTAAATACTTGTTCATGTGTAATGCGTTGTTGCTCGTGATGTTGTTTTGTAGCTATACTAGGAATTGACATTGTACTAGCTGTTGATATACCATTTGTGGTTGGTTTAATATTTTGGTTCTGATCCGGATTACGAGTATGATTTTGTGCAATGCCCTTGAATTAAAACGCCATTTGTTAAGATTCTAACTTATGAAAAAAGTTCTAAGGCTTACCTTGTTTGTACTAACAATCTGGGCATTGTTAATAACAGGATGGGTACGATTTGGTGGCACGGGAGTATTGGCTTGTGATGTTTGACTTCCAGATGGAGAGTCAACTGCAGAGCCATTAGAAAATATTGGTGGGATATTTCCATTTTGTGCAGAATGATATGAATGTGATCCGCCTTGATCAGATATTATTGTTTGGCCTGTAGGAGTATTGTTCTGATTTATTTGTGACACTGGTGTTTCTTGAGCAGACCATTCTGAGCCCCCTGGTTTTATCTGTATAGAAAAATAAAAAAAGCCTTTGTCATAATGAAATTAAATAATCACAGGACTTTTAATATAACTTACAAATTTATTGCTGTAATCAAGTTTTGTTTGAGTGTTGTTGGGTGTTGGATATTGTGGTAAATGTTGTGGTACTAAACTCTGGTTCATTACTAAAACTTCATTTTCCGGCAATGGCGGTGGTACATTTGGATGTTGCCTCCGAATGCGTGGTGGACTTGAGGAACGCAAAGAGTTTGAACGTGCAACATTAGATGTTTTTGGAAGTCCAGCTGTTTCATTATTTCGTATGTTAACTGGGTTGTTGTTGATTTTTGGATTATTTTCTCCACGCACAATAGTCTAAAAGAAATACCATAAAATGTTTTAAACATATCAAACTTAGAATTTTGAGTGAAATGTTTTTGTTAAAAATATTTGTGTACACACATACTACTTTACTAATATTTATACAATAATTTTAAGTAAAAATAGCTTTGATAGATAGTAGGTTTCAAATGCACATTGTCATTGAGTAGGTTACTGTAATATAGGTGTTGAATATGAAGAAGTCTATGAGTAAAGGTGTTTCAGAAACTGTTGCAATTTTTATAATAAGAAATATAGGCTATTTCTAATTATATTTTGTAATAAATTTATGATAGTATTAAAAATAAAATAGAACTTGAACTAAATTAAGTCAAGATACAGGGTGGCCCCCGATGATTTACCCATTGTGATAACTCCTGAGGTAATAAATACATCATACATTTTTTTTTTGACTAACAGAGACAAGGACTACATATATTTTATTTTATTAATTTTTTTATTTTTGAAATAATGAAGATATCCATTTGGTAGTTTATTTTTCTAAAATTTTTGACTTTTCAAAGTTTTATTTATACTAATTTCATGATTTTCAATAATTTAATTATTCTATAGGTAAAACGGCAAAAATCTGGTTTTTTTCAAGGCCGTAAGTCTGCTTCTACAGCTACTAGGTATATCTTCAAGGGACAGCCAGTATAGTATTTTAATATACATATTATTTATATTAACTTAGAAGTCAATATCAATATACCTTAGAATGTTTTAAATATTTTGTAAATGTGATTGTTATAGTAAAAGTTTCAAATCCTTAAGATAAATATTTTTTAAATTACAATAAAAATTTTAAATTTATCTGGCATATAAATATTAGTCCCTTTTAAAAAAAAATATTATTTCCAATAATTTTTAAAGGTACTGGGTTTTTTCTTTTTACTGCCCTTAACTAATCCCAAACTAGCTTCAACTTGCTACCATAAATTGCTCTTAATATTTAAGATTGGTGCATTTATTTTTTGCGCGCTCACACACACACAAAATATACTAGTAAAAACTAATAAAAGTGATGAATGTAAAATTGTTATACATTTACCTTTAAATCCAATATTTCTGTAGGGGTAATTTCTGATGGATCCACAAGAGGTAATGGTCTATTAGTGCTCTTCAGTATTTGATTATTACCAACTATGCTTGCCCATTGTAGAGGCAAACCTATAAATTTACCTTCGCGTTTATCAAAGCCAGTATGCACTCTGTGTTCAAAATTTGTAGGTGAAGATATTTGAGGTTTTTTCTTTTTCTTTGAGAACATTACTAAATATTAAAACATATTTTGATTTAATTAACATTACACGACACATTTTTTTATTAACATTTGAAAATTAAAATATACTGAGTGATCCATTTAAGATAAAACACTCATTATTTCTAAAATTATAAACGTTTTTGAAAATATTTTTTTGTCACTTTCAAATTATGACATTTTTTTTAATTGTTCAATGACAACATGCAATTTTTAAACAAATATTTCAAACAATAATCCGCTTCAGAATATGAAATTGAAAATGTATGTTGTCATTATAAAAAATAAAAAAACTTTAAAAAATATAATTTTGGTTTTGTTTTAAAATGATCTAAGTAAATGGAATATTTTCAAAAATATTATTGTTTTCTAAAGTAATGAGTGTACATTAAATGGAGCACTCCACATAGGTAATGTGGATGTTTACTTATATTAAATAATGATGTAACTGGAGTTTCTGAAAACTTCTAAGTGCAATTGGATGTTTTAGTGATAATAAGTGACTAAGAAGTTATCTTTACTTAAGGACATTATAAAATAATTCTATTTATCAATTATCATACTACATATTTTACAGTTAAGAAACATAATACATCATATAGAGGCTAAAAATTACATTAAGTATGATTTAATATAGGTTTCAATTAATCAACTAACTTATTCTAAATACTAGATAGACTATAATATAATTATAGTTTACTAGTATCTGTACTATAAGTGTATTCTTAAGATATAAATATGAGTTTGTATTTAGAAATTAAAAAATTGTTCTCATATTTTTTTAATCAATACTGTAGAGTATAGGTGGTTAATAAATATACCTATTTTATAAGTAGGAGAGTAGATTTATTTAATATGCTTGAATTAATATTACTTAGATACACTTTTATAATAGTAAAAACTGTTTAATATAAGGTAGGTATAACAAATGTATACGTTTATTCATTAATAAGAAAATCCTAACATTTAATACAAAGTTTGTCTAAAGTGTATTTAATTAACATTTAAGTTGAATTAAAAAATACAAATTATTATAGGTTCAGTGTGTTTTATAAAATTAAATCTAAATAAAGAGGCATGTTTTTGATAAAATTGATTATTTTTCAGTGATAACTTGACTTCCAGAAACAATATCAATAAGATCGGAAGTGATTTTAAACTGTCTTTTACGATTATATTCCAAAGATAACTTTTCATTCAATTTCTTAACATTTTTAGAAGCAGCATCCATAGCTATCATACGAGCAGAATGTTCACAGAAGGCATTTTCTACCATGGCAAAAAATAAAAGTGAAACAGTAGAAAATTCAATATAACTTTTCATAGTTTCTTCTTCTACTTCTTCTAAACTTGCAATATGGGCTACTGTAAGAAGGAAGTCTGTGTTGTAAATAGAGATCCAGTCAACTTGTGACGTTCCTTTAGTAACAACACGGTTGTAAAATATCTGACAAGCAATAAATTCAGCATAATTACATTCATTGAATATTTTTGAAGCCTCTAGAAATGTGGCATTATTTTTGCCAATTTTGAAGACTGTGAATAAAATGTTAGATTTATACGATTTTGCTAACAGTTCCTCTGATTTTTTGCCAACACACACAACCTTTGCAAATTGTTGATCAGAGCGGTCCAGTTCTTGTTTAACTTTTTTCACGACAGCCACATGTATGCCGCCACATAGACCTCGATCAGACGTGATGGCAAATATCAGATGGTTTTCAATATGGTCAAGCATGTTGATGTGTGTGTAATGTTTGTAGAACGATAAGGTGCCGTAGCCAAATGGTCGTACGTCCTTCAGCAGGCGCTCCGTCTTTGCCATTTTTGCAGCTGACACAAGTTTCAGGGACGAGGTGATTTTATTGATGTTGCCATACGACTGTATGGTTTTCTGTATGGCTCTTAGAGACATTTGGTAAGAAGTTTTGGGCGGGCCACAGGAAAACGAACGGGACCGTCTAGGATCTAGAGACAGGAAAGATAAACAAAGAAAAGAAATCATGCAAGGATCAGAAAAGGGTTAGGTGAGGACACCACCTTCCCTGTGAAGGGTATTCAAGTCGTAAGCGGAACGGGTCGGAGGCACTACCGACCGACCTCGTCCGAGAACACTGTAGGCACGACGTGATACAACAAGTACCGTCACTATTAATTGTTATTAAAGTAAAATGATAATATTTATCGCTCACCTCACACGGACGGTTGGCTGGCTCGGTGCTGCGACGACCACTATGGTGTTTGCCGTTAGATAAAACATGCAGACGCGATTTCGATTCGGCCGTGTACTCGGGGTAGGTATGTGTGTGTAAAAACGATGATCACTAACGAAGAAAAAAAACAGAAAACGAATAACAAATAACGGCGATTGAAATTGAACGGACGGAATCGAAAACGGTAAAAAGCGATCACGTACACAGAATTGACGATATCCTGACAGCACGGCGTACGTATAGTGCGGGGCGAAGGAATGTAAACAAAATGGAATGCTCAATGCACTAAGCAGGTATGTGTACTGCGTGTAGCAATTCCCGGTTGTTGTATGTGAGGGGGGAAGAGGACCGTAATCTATGACGCGCATGCGCCGAGGCCGACGCGCCGTTTTGGTTAGATAAAATAGCAACAATAATGTGCGACTGCGTTACCTCAACCACGAGTATAGGTACGCACCAAATTTGATAAAAATAAAATTTTGACTAAAAATATTAATAATATGATCCCCGATCACTGAAATGTGAACACGCAGTGGCGTGTAAGTTGTGACATGGGGTCCCAAGTGTTGCTCAGGCAACACTTCAAATATGGGCGGATGCAGGTATTGATATAGAAGGAAAATAGTACATTTTATCGGTGGGTACCTACCTATAATAATTTATATAGGTGATCTAGCATTATTTGAGGCATTGAGCACACGGTACACCCCACTATTTAGTAGTGCACTACTGCAGTATTGATAAATATAATATTATCTACAAATTTATAGAAATTGTTAAATACAGTTTTAGACGGACAAAACTATAAACTTTCCTATAAAAAAATGTAGTAATTTAAAATGTTTCTAATAATTTAATTCGCTACTACCTACTCCGAGTGGTATTGAATTTATTATAATATTATCTATGACTAATTTATTAGTGGTACTATTATTCCAGAGTTAAAATAGGTGCAAAATATAAATACAGTCTACATTCGAATAATTGACTGATTGTTTTAATGCATCCGAATTGGTTCCCGATATAAAATTTCGAAAAAACGAAATGCAATCTAGTAATATTGTTTAATATTATTATACTTAAAAATTGTTTTTCTACGTTATGTAATCTGTATACGGGCGCAAAATAAAAAAAAATTAAATAAATACCAAATAGATAAGAAAAAAAATAATTTCCTATGGGTACCCATATATTACATGTATTAAAAAGTAAAATATCTTATAGCCTATAGGTACATAATAAGATGTATGACTTATTTTTAAACAAAAATCACAATTTCTAATCATACCTGATATCTCCATGTTAATAAGTATGAACAGTCCTAATAAGTTTGTATGAAATTGGAAGGAATTGAATACTTATGCTTTTAAAATAATATAAGAAGTTTATAGTTCAGATATAGGTATACTCTTCGTAAACGAGTGCTTTAGAACTAATTCGGAATTTCGGATACAGAAGTTTTAATAGTTAGGTACCATACTACCATACTTGACATTTTTGAAAAATGCCCTAACATCGTTGCACAATATTAATTACACCATAATTTATGCCAACATTTTACTATTGTACAATCTACAAGCTGTAAATTACAATGAATTGACTTATGGTCCACCTACAGTAAAATGGTGAAAAATGAAAAACCACTTACACAGCTACACCCTTAATATATAATGGTAAATACTTAATATATGGTTATATAGTTATTTAGGAATAATACATGCCACATGTGCACTCATATAACTACGCAACTTATTGAAACAATATATACGGCAAATTACGGCTATGTCGATACCTATATGGTTCTAATACTGGTAATCTACTTATAAAAATACATACAGGCTATTACAAATATTAGCTCTTAGGCCTCTACACCATACGTACCTTTACACCTATTTTATGGATGACAATAATTCTCAATTTTGAATGCTCACCATAATATTAAAACGTTTTAAATGATCAATAATAATATAAATTAACTCATAATATAATGTATAAAACATATTCATTACGGTGTATATTATTATATAGGTAAAATATTTAATATTTATGTGCATATTGGCTTAACTGCTTAAGCAGTTGAGCTATAGGTTATCCATATAACCTACATAGGTACCTAATTCATAACCATTACATTGTTCTCACATATAGTTATAATTTAAAAGTTTTATTTACCTATGTAGGTACAATTATTCAACCACTGACAAAACATTATGTTCAAAACTGTGCACCATGGATTAAAAAACACATTTCATACAATTATTGTTCAGATAGGTACACTTTTATTAAACTGTACCTATGAGAACCACAATCGTTGCCGAGCAACGTTAAAATTTGTTATATCTATTAATATTCGGTTGACCTTTTTTCTTTATTGAAATAAATATAAGTAGTAAATAGTTAATGTGCCTTCTGTCAGAACCATAACTAGGATTTTTTTTTGAGGGGGGGGGCTTAAGCCTTAAAGCCACCACCCTCCCCCTAGAAAGCTACGGCACTAGCTACTGTTATTTGGTTAAAAAATTATTAACGACTCTAACTGATGGCTATTTTGTTTTCTATTATATTGTAAAGATATGAGTATTATACAAAATATTAGAAATTTACACAATAAAACTAAAAGAGAATTATAATTAAATTTCGTAACACACCTCCTTGAATAGTTTCAGTAAAAGATAGCTGTTGCTTTTGTTTGAGATATGTAGTTCTTAAATTGATGAAATAATTATTTACCTAGCCACCTGCCACTTAGCTCCTAGGCAACTAGTACCAAATTTACATATAAGTGACACAGGGTGAAATAATTGGGCGGCCCCCGGGTTTTATTCAAGGTGTAGAATATTGGATAAAATTGTTTATACTTTGGTCGGTCAAAAGAAGAAATTGTCAGCACTTTTTAAAACAATTGGGATTTGATCATAGAATTGAAATTTAACACATTCATTTTGTATGGTGTTTTTTATTTTAAATGACAACTGACAAGGTACATTCTACACCGTCCTACCGTCCTACGGTACGGCAGAGCAGTTATCTATCTATCTTAAATTGCTTTTAATTTATGCACCCATTAGTATGTTTGCCAAGTGTCACCGATGGATACTTAGGTATATTATGCTGAGTATTTAAATATTATTGAGGAGTTCAAAATTAAAATATAATCAATAAAATAAATAGGCTTATAGGTACCTAGGTGGCTAGGTATTATATGAATATAAACTGACACAAAAAACAAATAACAATATATTATTATGTTGAAGATAGATAAAGTCGTGAATATAACATTATAAATATGAGTCATTTGACTAAAAAAAAAAGAATTAAATAAATCCTTGTGTTTTAAATAAGTACCTACCTAACTATAATATACTGTTATTGGGCAGTCGGTTAACTGTTGTTACCTATAATAATTGTTAGTTGTTACTATTGTTAGTCACATTTTATTCTCGTATCACTTTAAAACTTTTATAATTTTTACTTTTGAATAATGAATTGTTTATTTTATTATTCTATAATTTTATTTTACTTGAAGATTACTCAAGAAAATAAAAACGAACTTAGGTTAAAGTGTCTTACTTATGCTGCTCGTGGGTATGAGAGATAAAACAAATATTGCGATGAATTTTATCTTAATGAAAATATTATTAAATATTAGTTAAAGAGCCTACGTGGACAGTACATTCATTAATTCAGTTTACAGTGATCCGTCATAATGACGCAGCCACGCGTAAAAAATAACATAACATTATATAACATATATAATAATATTATCACCACAAACAAACTTTTTTTTGGTAACAACCAAAGACGTGTTCAGACCTTCGAAGCAGAGATTGTAGATTTGTAACTTCTAAGATCATGCGATTTTTGTAATAAGTCCCAAGGGGTGTTGGGGGCAAAGACCTCCACTGTAGTTCTGTGAAGCATTTACAATTATAGCACCCCACGTTTTAGAGGTCTAGTTGCGCCTATGACGAGTATGACCACACTTATAATAAATATTATATTATTATAATATTATGTATAATCTAACAAAATGTATAACTTAAACAAGCAAAGCTAATAGTTATATTATTATATATATTCATAACATGACCGATTTGTGTACTGTTCTGTATGGTAATGGGCGAATACTGGGCAATAAACTCTCAAATAAGACACCTTATGAATCCATATACCTTATATCAGGCGAACCGATTTATATTTTATATTTATAATACTTTATACTTATATGCGGTTCATGTAGTAAAATTAGTAGGACAATACAATATAATATTTTAATAAATGAAGACACAGGAAAAACAATAGATACCTACTAGCACAGTAAAAAGTGGTATACGGTAACCGTGATTGTTGATACTGTAGATAGTTTGGTAGTAAAGTAACAGAGTTATTCTCATAAATATATATTATTATGTTATTCAGTGGTATTGTTGAGCGGTAGCGTAAGTGGTTGCTTTTACACTTTCACTAATCGTTAAATCCAATATTTTCTTACTAACAAGATTAAATATAGCAAACTTTCTTTATTAAAGATACTATAACTAAGACTACAAACTAGCACGTTTGAGAGTTATGTATGAAAAAAAAGGGCTATGTGGAGGATCAGACCATCACGTCCCCCACCGACTCTGGATCACATTATTTAATCAGACTATTAATAAATGCACCTTTATAATGATTAATGAGTATAATTTTTTTTTTTTACCTCTTTTGTACTTACCTAATATAATAAAAGAGGAGATGCTTGGTATAAAAATACCCGAAAATAGATGTGTGTGTAAGTGTGTTGTGTGTGGCTGAATTGCTGAACCAATATGAAAACTGATCGAAATCTTTTAACTATCTGAGATCTGACGTTAATACAAGTAGAACCCTACATAGTAGAAGTTGTAAGTATTTATAGGGCGTAACACGTTTCCACCAAATGAATTTTACTATATTATATAATATTTTACATAAATACTGCTATAGTACAA